GAATAAATACAGAGAAAACAGGAAAGTTAAGTAAATCACAGTAAAAGCATCCCAATATATTTTAACCCTAAATATCCTGAATCGTTTTACAAAAGTAATTTATTCAATAAATAAATGGACAGAGACCACAACCCCCCCAATGTTAGACCTAAAGTTACGCCCTTGGAAATGTATGCTTGGAGGATTGAGCAATTAATTGATTTAGCGTGTTTTGCAGTTTTGATTTGAGTTTTGCTCCAAATGATCATAATAACGATTGTGGACAAATGATGATTAATGTAAATATATCCATATTGTGCTTTACAAGCAATCCACTTCCTGCACTGCACAAGCTGCAGACCCACCTGTGGCAGAGGGAGAAGCAGCAGAAACACCATTTAACAAAGTTTCAAACCAAACGACATGTGTAGACCATGTGTGTGATTTGTGAGAACAGCTTTCAGTAAGTTGTGTTGGTACTGACACTGTCCAGGGAAATGTCCAGTGACTTTATGCAGCTGAACTTTAGAAGAAAATAAGCTTCTGTCAACAAAACAACAGAAGATCATCATCAGAGTCAAACAGAACACAAATGGTCCTAATCCTGTCTGATTGTGGTTACATGTTGATTTTGTGGACTTTTACCCTGATGTGGGGCTGCAGTACTGCTGTTGAGCTGTTCTTTGGTACCTACATGTTTGTAGAAGATAAATAATTGTCCTTTATTAAAAAAACATTTGATATTTCTAGCCAGAATTATTCATTTTATTTTTGACGGTTATTTTAACTAAATTTTGTCAGAGTTTCTTAATTTCAAGGTGTAACTACATAGAAAATATTGCATATTTGCTTTTGTCCCATCTATTAATTGTCACTTGTACAGTACAGGACTTTGAAATCAAGTTTTGATATATTTATAATGTTTCTCCATACTTTAGGTTATTATGATGGCACAATTTTCCACAGAGTGGTGCAGGATTTTATCATTCAAGGAGGAGATCCATCTGGAACAGGGCTAGGTGGAGAGTCCATCTACGGCCGTCCTTTCAAAGTAAAACTTCCTGAACTCTTTTTTTTTTTCATCTTCATCATTTTGAAGATCAGTGATGAAGAACTCACTCACTCACACACTCACTCACACATGTCTGTTTTTTATATACCTGTCGGGACTGTGGATTGACTTTCATATTTTGGAACTTTACATCACAGGTACCTACCTACCTGACACTAAAACTAACCTACAGGTCCTTCTCAAAAAATTAGCATATTGTGATAAAATTAATTATTTTCTGTAATGTACTGATAAACATTAAACTTTCATATATTTTAGATTCATTG